AAATTATACCAAAGGCCAGGGATTTAGCTCAGTGGTTCTGCCACCTGCCTTGTAAGTGCAAGGTCCTGAGTTTGATCCCTGATACTCAAAAGAAAACAAAACAAATGCTTTGCCAGACGTGGTGGCCATGCCTGTAATCCCAGCACTTGGGATTCTGAGGCAGGAGGATTGCTGTTGAGTTTGAGACCAGCCTAGGCTACACAGTAAGTTCCAGGTCAGTCTCAACTACATAATGAGACCCTGTTCTCAACGCCCCACACCAAAAAATTGAGGAGTAATGATGTTAGTCCTTCTCCAAAGTTCTTTGTAGAATTCAGTAGTGAATCCATTGGAACTTGGGATTTTCTTAGCTGGTAGTCTTTCCCCTCTTTGCCTTCTTCAATTTCTTGCCTGTTTTTGGATTAGTCTGGATTTTAAAAAAAACTCTTCCTGGTTCAGTTTTGGTAATTCCTACGTATCCAGGAATTTATGCATTTCTTTTGAATTCTCCAATTTTCAAAGTACAGGATCTCAAAAGTAGTTACTGATAATCTTCTGGATTTCAGCAGTGTCCATTGTGATTTCACCTTTTTCATTTTTAATGTACTGAATTGCTTTTTACTGGGGGGTAAAACTGGCTAAGGGTTTGTCCATTTGCTTTATTTTTTCAAAGAAACAGCTCTTTGAGTCACTGATCCTTTTTTATCTTTTTGGGGGGTCTGAATATCATTAATTTCTGCTATGATCTTTATAATTTCCTTTCTTGTACTAGCTTGGATTTGAATTGTTCTTGTTTTTGCTAGGTCCTTGAGGCATACTGTTACGTTATTTATTTGGGCTCATTCTGTTTTCCTGATGTGGACATTCACAGTTATAAATTTCAGTTAGGACTGTTTCCATTATTTCTCATAAGTTGTGATACTATCACTATCACTAGCACTATCATTTAATTCTAGAAACTGTCTAATTCTTTCCTTTTCTTTTCTGACCCATTATTTCAGAAATGTATTAAAAGGGTTATACACTATAACCAAGTGGGATTTATCCCAGGAGTGTAAAGTTAGTCCAACCTATAAAAACCAACTAATGTACTATTACTTCAATAAATGACAAGCATAGAAAAAGCATTTGACACATTCCATCACCTTTTTAATGATTAAAAAATACTTAACAAAACAGAAATAGAAGAAAACTCATTTACTCTGGTAAAGGGTATCTATGAAAAACCCATAACTAATATACTTAATGGTGAAGAATGAAAACTTTGTCTCTAAGATTAACAAGGAAAAAAAAAAACCTACCAGCTTTGCCACTTCTATTCAGTCTTGCACTTAAAGTTCTAGCTAGAGCAGCTAGAAAAGAAAAATCAAAAGCATCCATATGGGAAAAGGAAAACAATCTCTATTCATAGGTGAAATTATTGCACACATGGAAAATCCTAAAGAACCCACAAGAAAACCTACTAAAGCTAATACATCCTGCAAAATTGCAGTATACAAAATCAACAAAAAGCAATTGTTTCTGTACTCCTGATATATTCTAATCTCTTAAATGATTACATATTATGTAGGAAGTAGACATACGAGTGAATATGAGAACTAAAACTATAAAACACTTAGAATCATCATGACTTTAGATTAAACAATATTTTCTTAGACAGGTCACCAAAAGTGCTAGCAAAAAAAGTGGGCATAAACTGGTCTCCATCAAAACCGAAACTTTCTATGTTCCAAAGGACATCATTAAAAAGGAGAAAAGACACCCCGCCCCTCATGAGTATGGACTAGATTTAGTGACTTCCTTTAGCCAAGAGAATGTAGAAGAAATGTTACTTGCAATGTTTGCCTATAGGACTGTAGCTTCCACTCAGGTGCTCTTACTCTCTCAATTGCTTGTTGAGAGGCCAGCTCCTAGGTTTGCGAAGTGCTATAAGGAGAGGCCCACAAAGCAAAGAATGTCTCTCGTCAACAGCCAGGGTTGACCTGGTAACAGCTTCCAGTTGAACCTTGACAGAATTGTCTTGGTTGACATATTGAATGCAGCCAGAGGCACCCAGCTAAGCTGAGCCCAAATGCCTGACCCACAGAAATTATGAAATAATGTTTGTCTTAATTCTCTTAGGATAAACGAGATGGGGCCATTTCTTGCTGCAACTGGCTGAGTCTTTTCTAAAGGCCCGTAAGGTAAAGGAACCATGGGGCTTTTCTGTGGCACGGTTGCAGCATTAAGTAACAGGTACTGGGGGAAAAGTGTTTTTTAAACATGAAATTAAACCATATCTTTCTTTCCATGTTGGGGCCTTGGCAGCTGAAGCTGACAGTGATGTTGGCTTGCTGGAATTGGGCCAGACTGAGATTTTCAAAATTGTGTGTATTACTCAGTCATTCCCCTGGTATCTGTTCCAGGCCCTAGTTTCACCTCCACGTGATGACCATGATCTCTGAACCCTGGCCATTCATTCTGCAGCAATAACTGTATACAGAAGAAGGGTGCCAACTTCCCAAAGACCAGCCTTCAGCTTGCTTGCGGTAAATTCATTCTAGACTCTTGCAAATATTATATTAGCCTTGGGGGCTGGGCTGAATTCAGTGGTAGCACAAGCTTAGCATGTGCAAGTCCTGGGTACTATTCTCAACACACATTCCCCATTATACTCAC